ATCTCTCTTTCTAGTTAAATCCTGAAGCCGTGGAAACCGATTATGGCCATATCACCGCAGTGTACAGTTTTGGTCAATGCATTATGGCTCCCTCGTTTGGATTTTGGAGCAATCGAATAGAGCAGGTAACCTTATGACTGGTTTCTGATGTAAGAAGGAATGTATCCCTCGTTCAACTCAAAATTTACAAAAAAAAATTCAGGTTCGACTGCCGCTCCTTGCGGGTTTCACTTTTATGATGTTAGGTAATTTTCTATATTTCCTACTGGAATTTTTTGCTCGGACAAGTGTTGTTAACGTTATGATGGTGGCACGATTCATCGTTGGTTGCGGATCAGGTACAGGCAGAACTTTTACTTCCTGAAAATTTGGAAAAGTATGTCCTGAACCTTTCTATTGCTCCGCAGAGTATTGCACAATAATGGAGGATGATTGTGAGTGTGGAACGTTTGTAGAGACCCAACACCAATTACGTATGTGCGTTCTCGAACTCGAACATTCACAGAGTGCAGCGACATCTATCACAACCTATGACATACATATGTTCACTTTTGAGCACAAGAAGTTCACTCTTCGACACTTTCAGTTACTAGAGTTAACAAGTAGTAATGCCGAGCGGCTATTACGCTGTGGGGTAACTGGCAAAGATAGCCAATCAAACCTTGTGTGCCCCATAAATTAATTGGGAATCCATAAATTGTTAAACATATTACTTCCTTCAAGCTCTAAGTCCTTACATATGTCCACCTTCTGCTGCTTCATGCTTTAGTTGTCGGTAGGTTGCCAAAATACTTCAGCAGCAACGTACAAAACGGTAATTCCCTGCGGAAGCATCTGAGGAACTTCCCGGAGCGAGGATCGCCCTTCTCTAAGGATTCGATTGAAGAGAACAAGCTGAACTTTGTTGCGATATGAGGCTTCTACGACAATTTGTAGCCTATAAGACATTAAGGCGCAAACTTCTCCGCAGAATTATGGAGACTTTGAAATGACATGACCGTAGAAACGTTTCATGTTCGGATCTATCAGCTTTCTGTAGAAGAATTTCGGGGGCTTTAGATTTATACTACTCGCCATCGGACTACAGAGATTACGTTTGTGCAATTTCAAGCATCTTCAGGGAACATGGCCCTTCTCAGGGCATATGCAGCGACGTCTTCATCAAAACAGGACCGTGCACGAGCGATTGCCTTTGTAAGTGGAGGTATAGCTATTGGCACTGTCATTGGACCGGGTGAGTTGAAAAACTACAGTACTCCTTCTTACTGTACATTATATAGAAATTTTAAATACACAGAAAACGGTCTAGGTGGATCAGGGGTTACTGTCCTTCGTTACTCCCGTTGAGAATCCTACAGCGGTCACTGAAAAGAAGTATGATTATCAGGAACAGTAATGATCAATTCACCCACTGGCTTAACACCGTTAAGCTTTGCAGTCTCCGGTGTCCGACATGGACGTTACTCTCTTTGCAGTGAAGTTTGAATGCAGTTTGAAAAGAACAACATGTAGCACCATCAGTTTTTACGCCTTCTGTATTTGCTGGATACTATGGGAGAACAATCGAGATGTCTAGCGATAGTTCCATAGATGAATATTTTCAGCGTTCCAATTGCTTTTCACTCCTCTTGGTTCGAACGGAGTCCGTGTTTTGCCGTTCTTACGGCTAAGCATTTATAACACACCAGCTTTATTCGCATTGTTGCTGAATATAATGGGCTTTATCGCTATCGTATCCATCTTCGAGGAAAACTACGATGTGCTGAATTCAACGGAAAAGAAGGTAGGGCATTCTCAAGAAAACCTGTTGCTCACAATCAGTCCAACGCTTTCTTAAGTAATGTACACATATCAACTCATTTCGAAGCGAATTACTTTCTTTAGTTATTTGGTTGCCTACATAAAATATGAATCTTCACATTGAACAACAAATAGCAACAGTAATTTTTCAGGATAACGACGAATTGCCCTCACCTTGCAAGATTGCAGTGCTCGTTTGTGTCTTCACCCGTTTTGTTCAGATATTTGTTTCAGCGTCAAGTGGGACGTATGTTCATTAGAAATGAATTATCTTTTTTTTGTACAAAGTAAATTCAGTTGTAAAAACCTAGAGGAAAATCTGAATGAGGCCTTTTACCTGCTTATATCGGACCGACATTTGTCTTTCAACTTTCCACTGAGCAAGTACATTCAATCTTCCGTATTTCCCTCTCCAAAGAAGCAAGGTTGAATCCAGAACTTGAGGCTAGATATTAGTCATGAAAAAAGTAAAATGAAAATCTGTGTGAAAGTGCTATGGCGTAGAACTGTCTTAATAACATTACCTCAGAAAACCCATTCGTTATGACAGATAGCGGATTTGAGAGCTCAGAACTGACTTTATAGGACAATCTTCATTCCTTTTGACCCAGTATTAAGGTTGACGGTGTTACATCATAACCAACCTTCTTCAATGAGGGAAATGGTCCAGTCTCTGGGGTAATCTATGTCATATAGTCAACTTGATTATAGTAGCATCGACTAACTTCATTGAGGGATGAAAAGGGACTTTACAGGCTTGGATCGGCTTTTTCAATGTTGATGTTTTCTTTCAACAAGGAAGAAGCCGTAACAGCATATTCATCAGCAAACCTTGCTGCTGGTTGTGTCAGTATTACACTCTATTTTGCCTTCATTTTCTTCGACCTGAAAAAATGGTAACCAGTTCATTTCTTATAGTTAGTAGATCGATTCAGAAACAAGTTCATCTGAATACTGATCCTAGTTTGATATGAATCCAGCGGATCACAAAGTCTATTCATTAAGGGTACCTAAACGAATATCAACCGTTCTATCGATATCTTTGTATGCTTGTCTATTCCTATTCACTTTGCCGTGGTCATTTCTACCGAATAATGTGGAAATCTCTGAACATGGTAAGTTCGACTTGTCTTTTTCCACTTTTCTGTCTTCCCTGAATTCGCTCAATCCTAGAGACCAAATTATTTCAGGATCTGATCGTGGTTGCTTCGCGGATAGATTCGACTGGTGTGCTGATCTCAGAGCGGTCTCTCCTTTTGTAAGCTTGTTGTCACCAAACAAAAAATATTTAAAATTTACATGGAATTCTTTCTGATCTGCTAACGGCAGTGAAGAGAGCCCANGTTTTTGGAGTTGGTGCTTCAATTATGAACATTGCCCTAACCACTCTGTATTCGGAAATAATTGGGCCACGACGACAGGTCTGCTTATTTAATTACTAAAGAAACGTAATGGGATCAATTCACAAGAGCGAATTTGTGAAAGAAAAGAGATGAATAAATGTCACAATGGAAATGGCTTAGCCTGCATTGANTGTCAACGTGAAGAGAGGTGTTCGGCAAGGCGATACTATTTCCAAGAATAGTTATCAGGACAAAATTACCAACTTTTTGTTCCCACAGTTCACGATTGTATTGCTCCACATACGCATTCAAACGCCGCTACCATTCTGAATGGTATTCGGATGCGCGGCGCACCCAACAACTTCATTGGTCACAACAATTTTCTTTTTGATCATTATTTTGGCTTTTTTCAAGGTCTACTACCCTATGATCGTCCTCGTTTTTGGAGTTGGTGCTTCAATTATGAACATTGCCCTCACCACTCTGTACTCGGAAATAATTGGGCCACGACGACAGGTTTGCTTATTTATTTACTAACAAAACGTCCTGTGTTCTATTCTCAAGAGCGAATTCGTGAAAGAAAAGAAATAAATAAATGTCACAATGGAAATGGCTTAGCCTGCATTGAACATTTTCAGGGAACACTTCAAGGTATTTATCAAATGGCAGGATCTATTGGGAGTATGCTTGCTCCTCTCATCTCAAGGCAAGTCACAATGTTCGAAGTCAATACAGCTAAATTTCAATTCTGATTTCAGNAATAAATGTCACAATGGAAATGGCTTAGCCTGCATTGAACATTTTCAGGGAACACTTCAAGGAATTTATCAAATGGCAGGATCTATTGGAAGTATGCTTGCCCCTCTCATCTCAAGGCAAGTCACAATGTTCGAAGTGAATACAGCTAAATTTCAATTCTGATTTCAGTTCCCTTTATACGAAATTTGGTCCACAAGCGCCATGGTCACTGGCCATTGCTGAAATTTCAGTGGTAATAGCTCTGTGGCTGGTGTTCCACAAAAAGATGGTTCCACTGCGCACAAAGGTCGAAACTAATAAATCCTCGGCGAAAGAAGAGCCTTGATATCGCTATTCTTCTACATTGTTGTTACTGTCAACAAGGCATCAAGTGTTGTCACTCATAATAATAATAATAATTGAATAAAAAATTTGTTGAATGCCAATTTCTGTGCTGAATGGTTTCAGAAGCAGAGCAGTCCTACGTTATATGTGCCATATAAGTTGATTGAGAGGAGGCTGTTAGAAAGCTACAACATTAGTGTGGTCACAGCTCCTTCCGGGTGTTTCTAACAGATCCTTTCCTAGTCAAATTTCCTATTCTGGAGAATGGTCTTAGGCAAATTGTCCTGGTCCCAGACAGGACAAAAATCCACTAGACACAAAAAAACCAATCTGCATAAGCCTAGCGTTCGTGCATTGTGTTAAGCGACGATTGGGGAAGACAACAAAAATCAAACTCGAGCCGCATAAATTGAATGATGAGTGAAAATCAACGCGACGTTTAGATTTTTGTTTTCCATTAGATCGCCTAGGCCTCTTTGATATGTTGTCCTATCGAAGCTGCTGGAGCATGCGGAGCTTTGTAGAATGGGAGCTTCTCATTGTTGTAAGATAGTTTAAATGTTCATTGTCAGAAGTTGTTCATGTAGCTCAGTGTCGTACTCTAAGCAAATGGATAGGAAGGTCTGTTGCGCGACAAATTTTGCTTCTCCCTTCAAAAGGAATTTTTATTGCCGTGTAGTACGTTAGCACTTCACCCATACTCCCATATATTTGCATATAACAATTGTGTTGCTGGAATTAACCCCGACGGAGAAAGTTGTTGAGAGGTGCCTCTTTAAAACCACCTCCATCAAATCTTCATCATAGACGGATGCGCTTCATCTGGTGGAACTCAAGTCACTTACAAACGTTTGCAGGATTGAATGTTTTCCTCTACGTATGCATAAATTGTTGAATATAAAAGTGCAAAGTGATCGAAGACTTTCGAAACCCTCAATAGGATCATACATATGCCATGACTATGACTCGCTTAGGGTGAATATGACCATTGTTCTGCACAGTCAAACGGTGATGGGAAATTTCCCAATACAATCTGCTCGGTCGACTCTCCCATTCCCACTCTATTAGCCGCTACAAAGCAAATATGGTTAAGGAAATTCATCAGGTACAACTCAGTTTCTTCCTTCGAGATTGGGCTTGTATTTCGTGCTAGAACGTGTTTTCAGTTAGAATATGTTGCAGTGGTCTATCCATCGAGCATCTCGGAAACTATATGAAAATTTGATCCTCATGAGGAATAGAAGCAAGAGGATAAGCCAGTGTCAAAATGCTTCACGACCACCACAAAAACAGCAGCATGACCAGGGGATTTAGCAACCATACGATACAGTACCAAGCTTGCCCTTCTTCTCGAGATGAACGTATTGAACCGAAACCGAGATTTGCTTGGAAGGATCCCCAAACTGGAACAGTTTCTGAGTGGGGGTTGGGTGTGATGCACTATCTGAACAAACAGTAGCATAGAGTCTACCGTATTTCCAGTCTTCGCATGAATCTTNCATGACCAGGGGATTTAGCAACCATACGATACAGTACCAAGCCTGCCCTTCTTCTCGAGATGAACGTATTGAACCGAAACCGAGATTTGCTTGGAAGGATGAGAAGCATCTCCCCAAACTGGAACAGTTTCTGAGTGGGGGTTGGATGTGATGCACTATCTGAACAAACAGTAGCATAGAGTCTACCGCATTTCCAGTCTTCGCATGAATCTTGTGAGCGCACTTTTTTCTCAGCTGGAGTACTTAGGCTTGCAATATTTCCGATTTTGATCCGCTTCATCCTTGTTCCTGCCCAGCTCTTATGGATGTTAATTTTAACTGAAAAATTCTGAATCCTTTATTCACTATCACTCATATGAAACATCAAAGTCTGAAGTTGCTGAAGTGCACCAGTTTTTTTCGTTTAGTTTGAGGAGGATTTGAAAGCCAACGTCGAGCTGAAAACAAAAGAAGCGGCACGGTCAGGAACACCATGGACATCAATCTACCTTGCTGGTGGATGCGCTTTCATACAAGGTGCTCAATTCGATATGTTTTCCAGTTCTATGTGGCCCTATCTAAAAAAGGTTGGTCGAAGCCTTTCATTTTCCTCCTCCAAGTTATCTTTTTACATCATAGTTAAACCCTGAGGCCATGGAAACCGAGTTTGGCCACATCACAGCACTGTATAGCTTTGGCCAATGCATAATTTCACCTGCATTTGGATATTGGAGCAATCGTATAGAGCAGGTAACTCGTTCCCTCACTCTAATTCTAAAAAGGAATAAAATTGTATTTTCCTTTCCACCGAATCGGATCTGAAAATTTCTTATTTTCAGGTTCGATTACCTCTCCTGACTTGTTTTATTTTTATGATGGCAGGGAATCTTTCATACTTTCTACTAGAATTTTTTGCTCGTTCAAATGTTGCTCACGTCATGATGGTGGCACGATTCATTGTTGGCTGTGGATCAGGTACGAAAAAATTCCTGACCAATCTTCTAAAACTTGATGAATTGCGACCCCAGGCTTCCCATTGCACCGTGGCTATTCCAGATGATTTTTAGAATATTTTTTTTTTGAATTTTAGTGCCACTTTGGAAAGACGAACTCAAAGTTAGGTGCCCACATGCGAACCCATTTGAACATTGACATATTGCAGTTAATTACATCTATATGATATGCCTTTTTCCCTAGATAACCAATCTCAGAGGAACCAAGCGATAAGATGAGGTTTAGCAAGGACGAGTCATCTGCACGAGGCAACCGACTGATTAAAAGGCGAACTCACTGTGCGAGGATAGAAGCGATAAGACACGTAGTCGCCACATACTCTGACCATACTACAACCCCTGTGACTCCTTTTCAGGCTTTTCGGTAAGAGAACCCTAGCTACTAATTATTGTTGATGCTCTTCGCACTGATTCTCAAAGGACCAGTTCATGATGAAAATGGTTCCTGAGTTCTCCCCTAAGTATACCCAGTGGCCCTCAAGGGTAACACAAAGGACAGACCTCAACAGCCGGGGCATAGTGGAAGCCCCGTTACTGGCTTCCCGCTCCTCGTTCGATGGCACGTCAGACGGGTGTCAAGGCGATACAGATTGCAATATTCATTCTTGAAATCACACACAATCGGCTGATCGCCGAGTGATGAGGCAATATTTTTCTCCCATTCTTTCATTCTCTGTTATTCTTTCTGCCGCTGCGGTCCCTTATTTGATTTCCTACCCAAGAGGCTGAAAAAGGTGAGCTATTTTTGCTGTTACTAGAGTTTTTTGTTTACATATGCTTATAAGCTGATGAATTTTTTCTTACCGTAGTCAGTTACATGCACCAGGAACCACAAGCACGCAATACCCCCAAACTCTATAGCTCGTCCAAACGCCCCATTCTTCTTCATTTTTCTTCTGGTCTCATTCTCGTCCAAGCCCTTCGACGATTTTTTTTCTGAGCAGTTTCTCCGCCTTCATCGCATTTTTTCCATCTTATCTTATTTGTTCGTCATAATCTGGATTACCCAAAATTATCGTGAACTATGTCTTTAAATTGTCCTCAAATCATTTAGGACAGCTATACCCAGTGCAGAACGCTGTGAACTATTCAAAGGGAATGAACGCTCCCTTATCCAAGGTCTTGACTGAAAAGTAACAAAAAGCTTCGGAAATAAACAAAATTTGTGCAGAAGCAAGTTAATTTGACTGTGACAAAAAGCCATTTGTTCCTAGCAAAATTGGCTGGTTAACAATACTATCAGGTTGATGCATAATTAAGGCGCATTTTTCGCGCCTTTTCTCCCTCGATAAATTTGAATTTCGAAATAGGGATTTGCGTAGAAATAATCTTCTCGCTTCCCTCAACAGTAATGCATCTAGAAAAAAATGCATCTATCGTATATTTATACATTATGCTCTACTTCTTTGAGAAAGGCTGGAAGGTGGCAGAGTCATTTCGCGATCTCAATGGAGTTGTCGGCGTTGGAGCACTCAACATAAGTCAAGTAAGGCAATACTCCTTCATCCGCCATAATCATCGACAGAAACTCCTACTGATTACCACATCAATCGTTCGCCTTCAAACTGGCTAGCGGAAATAACTTATGATATTGGATGACCTCATGGCAAATGTCAAAGCCTGGGATCGCCTCCAAGAATCAAAACACCTTCGCCCTTGGAATAGGACAACTTCCTAGCAAGTGGGATTCAGTGCTTGACGTAGATGGTGTCTTTGCTACGGGGCAATTTTTTGAACATAACTTACTTAAATACTTTTACCGTTTCCTTGAACAAAATTTGTTGAAAAGATTCCGCAATAACTATGCACCAACCCAATAATAAAGCATTCTAACTGATTTGCCCCAAATGACGAGTCTTGTCTAAATCAATCAGTCTTTTCTTAAGAGTATCGTAAGTCGTACGATTTATACCATTGATTCACTAGTTCTTCCAAGTAAGTTTTAGGGAATATGGCTCTACTCAGTGCATATGCAGCAACATCTTCGTCAAAGCAGGATCGTGCACGAGCGATTGCGTTTGTCAATGGAGGAGTAGCTATCGGCACTGTTGTTGGACCGGGTCAGTTAATCTTCTAAAAAGCTCTTTTAACTGTTGTCGTATAGTTAAGACTCAAGACCAAGACATCATGCTACATGCTTACATACATTTCTTTTACGGCTGATTACACAGCGTAGAACTTCGTTATAGAATGAACTGGTCCAGGGATCTGGTTCTTCCTGTCTGCCGGCATGTAAATTCCGCGTTTTTGGCCAAGTCAGGAACATCTGTGTGACCATGCACATATTGACAGCCACTGCATTGAGGCCCCAGGCCCTGTTGCTAGCCACCTGGACTCAGTTCTTGCAGGCTTCATATATGCGCTTTCCCATAATTCTCCACTTCTCATATCACAGATTGAAACCAAAATTCGAAGGCTCGACTCTTGTACAAATCCTTGAAAACGTTCAAATTCAGATTTTTCCTGAGCAACACCTAGGAAAGTCAGAAATGGAACCCAGTGCTTTTGATGGCCCTGACGTTATTTTAAGGAAAGTTGGAAACTGGTGAAAGGTTTGATAGGTCTATACGTATAGCCCTCAAACTCATCTAGTTCTTGGTCTCATGGTAGGCACCAACACACCTTGGGTACGAAAATGTAGCATGAGAAGATTTTTTGAACAACTCTAACTCGCATATGTCACTTGCTGAGCGAGCGTGGTAGGAAAATGAAACGTCAATGAATTTAGAGATATGTATGTACTTGTAGGCTTCCAATTGCTTTTCACCTGTCTTGGTCCAGATGGAGTCCATCTATTGCCATTCCTTCGACTGAACATTTACAACACACCGGCTCTATTTGCTACATTGCTGAATATAATTGGCTTCCTTGCTATCTCATTCATGTTCAAGGAAAACTATGATGTGCTGAACTCGATAGAACATATGGTGAGATAATACCAAGTTCGTAGATACTAACTCACAATCTTCGTATGTATCATTCTCACTCACTAATACCTAACTACACTTCGAATGATAGCTAATGAAAACAATGTTTCAGGATACTAAAGAGTTACCTCCACCTAGCTTGATTGCAGTGCTAGTTTGTGTCTCTACTCGTTTTGTTCAGGTATTCGTTTCAGCGACGATAGGAACGTACGTTTATAAGAAATGAACTGTTTTCTATCACCATGTAAAGGGTTCGCGGTGCGTTTGCCCCTTTTTGGGTTTCCGTCTCGGATCCCCTTTTCAGATGTCCAGAGACAAGGTCCCTTCCTCGGTAGAATAGTAACTCACACTTTATTCTTCTTCGGTAAGAAGCAGCACAGAAGTGGGCGATTGATCAGCAGAATCCTCTGACGAAATAGACAGAAGCAAAATGCCATTCTAGGAGATGTGACCGGCA